TATATATATATATCACTGCATTGCAAGTATTTTCTTCTTTAATTTGAAATTTCTTTTCTAAAAGGATGTTAGTAGGGTGAAGTTAGGTTGTTCTTCAGCTGTCTGATTCACCATGTGTTCCTGCTAAGGGTAGCTAGTTAAAGGTAGCAAGTAAAAACAAGTAAAGACTGTACCGGACCATGTGTTTAAAGACAATATTTAGATTATTTGACTCCATTTCTTTGCCTGGATTTTGTACTTACATTCACAAACAATAGGGGCTCTTACATGGGAATAAGAGTGTTATGTGCTAAATTGAAAATGTGGTGTAGTTTTCTCATTTAAAAAAAAAAAAAAATTGTCCTGTGGAAACAGATTTCTCTGCCGGAAGTGTGGTGGGAGATCTGTTGATTACCGTAAATGTGGATTAATTTTTTCCTTCCTTTCTCAAACACAGTTATTTTTTTGAATATGTCTTCAGCTGCAACAGAGTGAACTGGTTTTGTTTAAAAACAAATTTGGCCATGGTTTGATGCTAGCAAATCATATAATGGTTTATATGATGCTAGCATACCCAAATTAAGGGTAAGTTGCAAGTCTTTTTAAAAGAGTGTATTTAAAGAATTGATGACAGATTGACTGGATGAGTGGTCATAGATGGCAAAAATTAGTATTGTGGTTTTGCTTTCACTATATTTCAGTATAACAGATGTCAGCATCATCTCAGTTTCTTAATATCTTGTAATACATTACTTTAATGTCTTAAAGATTCTTACTAGGTTTTTGCCATTTTTCATGTAATACTTATACCCAACAGGAGAAGCTTCTGATTTATTGTTTATGAAGTGAGCATTTTAGAGCTTTATCTCTGCAAGTAATGTTTCAACTCCTGCCAGTAATCTGCAGTTAAGATGGTATTCCATTTTAGGTTAGATTAAAAGATGCCATGCCTTGCTGAGCTGGCACTTTTTTTTGTAGTTTTAGTGACTTTTTTGTTGATTTAGGAAGGGTTGGGTTTGGTTTGTTTTCCCAAAATTCTAGCTATGGAACAAACAGCTGAATTGGTATGAAAAGTCAGTATTATGTAGCAGTAGAAAGAGCTGAATTTTGAGGGAGGAAGACAATATTGATGACATAATTCTTAACCTTGGTAATCAGTTTGTTGTGACAAAGGAGAATTGTTTGAGTTTCAGTTTTAGGCTTGTTTCCTACAAACCTATGAAACATGCATTTAGGAGGCTTGTGTTAATTTTCCAGCCTTTGAAATCTGCAAAGGAAGAATGAGTTTGAGATTATTTTCTCTGCTTTCAGCTTAATCTGTGAATTCACATGATACAGTCTGAAGATACCGACACAGAATGAAATTTGCTCTCTAGGTGGTGATCAGCTAGGAATTAGTGTAATTGGTGTCTTATTTCAGAGCTGTTTTGGCACCAAAGGCAGCTCACATAGCTCACAGTCGGTCAGTGCTAGGATATCTTTTGCACTATAAAATGTAAGACAGCTCCCTTTATTAAGCATGGAACAGCTGGTTACAGGTTCCTCATTGCTAAAGCATCCAGCCACACAGACCACTGTCTCCTATTTGAGGTTTTCTCATATGTAGAATCTGAGCCAGCCTGATGGGTTTTTATGAACTGTAGTTCTGTTCTTGTGTTTTCTTAGGCATGGGCTTTAAAGGGAGAGGATATATTAAAAGGGACTATGACTTGCAAGGAAGTTGTCCATGAGGAAAGAGCAGTTTTGTCACAGACCCTCAGTTTCTGCTGGTTTTCTGTTTCTTTTTTTTTTTTTTTTTTCCCATGGGGCATCTCTATTTCTTAAAATTATGCCGAGCTGTTGTAAATGTGTTGAATGCTGCACCATCTAACCAATGGAAACGGGTTCTCTCCCAGCTGCACCATCTAGAAGCAGAGACTATATGGTGTTTAGAGAATATATGCTAGCCAAATTAGATTATTAGGTTCTCTTCTGATTTATGATAGTAGTAATGGCAAGTTGAGACAATGAACTTCAGAGATAGAAGATAAAGCTGCTTTTGCATAGCTCTCTTGTCATGAGCTATAATAAGTAATCTCTGTTTTGTACCAGATGACAGGCAGAAAACGTTAACAAAAATGCAGGTCTTCTGGGGTTAAAGAAAAGATCTGTGCTTTTTCAGACTCAGACACATTCACTGGGAAACAGAAGGATTGCAGCAGATGTTTTGATAACTCCAGTTTGTGCCTAACTGGCTACACCTTAGTTTTTTCGAATCTTACACAGATTAAAAGACGATTATCTCAATACTGCCTATCTCTTTCTACAGACAATGTTGTTTGTGTGGCTACCTAGAAGTTAATTTGACTAATTTTTAAGTACTCAAAAAGGTATTCAAAGGGTTCTGTTTTCTGGACTGCTATGAACATTAAAAATGTAAACCCAGAAATTGAAAATTACTTCTCTGAGTAGAATTTGCTCCAGGCTTAGGAGAAGATAAAACCTGAAGAACTTAGCCTTTGTGTTAGCAATTGGCATTTGCGTGTCAGCATAGCCCTCTGCAGCTAATGCTTTGCAGCTAGCTGTTCTCTGTTGCATCATTATGAGAACCTTCATAATGAGAAATTACTTTTTTCAGTTGGTGAAAGAGGTTTTTCTGTTTTTCACTCTCAGCATAAGGCTGAAGGCTTAAGGGAACCATGTTTCGAACCTTTGGTGTTAAAATTTCATAGTCATTGGCATAAAAAATACATAGAGTGGATTACTTGCATCAAAAGCAAAAGGGTTACAAGGTTTGAATAATTTTATTTTTTTTAAAAATTGTGTTCTTATGCGTGGTAGTATAAATATCAAATTATATAATCCTGGAGTTTTTTTAAGTCTTATTGTCCCTTAGTGGAAAACGAAGCACCAGATTTTAAATATTGTGTGGCCTTTGAGGTTTCATGGTGAAGGTATGTAGGAAGTTAACGAAGTCTTTTGTAGCCCTGTAGATCTCTAAGGAGAGTTTTTAATCAGCTTCTATCAATCGGGTTTAGGTTATGCATGATTTCAGATACCCATATTACAATATTTTCAAGCTCAATCTGTAAAAGTGAAATGACTCATCTGAGGATGGGAAAGCCTCAGCGAGCTAGGGAGCTGTCAGACTGCTGTCTTCAGGTTCTCTTCCCCCCTCCCTCAAAATGCTTTCTCATTTGGTTGGCTTCAGAAGGGAAGTTCTCCATCCATTACTTGAAATATCCTCATCTCCTTTAACATTATATTTTTTACTTTACCGTTTTTTAAAAGTGTGAGGTTTCATGGCATGTACCTCCCAGTGATAAGATGAGCACACCATAGCCAAGTGTGTTTAGTTTCCCTCCTGTGGGAAGACTGGCTGAGTGGCTGTTGGTGATTACAGGTAGTTAGCAGTTTCCTGGGTGGTGACACAGTTGCAGGAGTAATTGCAGCTTTGTTTCCTCTGTGATGGGGAATTGGGTGCTGCTGCCTCAGAGGAATGACCTATTATTGTAGGTTTGCTGCTGCTTGTATTGTCTTGTCCCCCACGACACTGTGATCCAAGGACACTTCCATTTCCATTGGAGAAATGCAGTTACTAAGGACATACTCATCAGTGGCAGTGTGCTGCAGAGCTTGCTCCTAAAAAAGGAGATAACTAGCTTGGGGTGGTAACTCTTTAACAAGACTACTCTTCAACTGTCTTTTCCTCCTTGGAAGTCAGTATTTTGAAAACAAGTGAAGCAGCTGTTGGGGGGACTCAAACAACTTATAACTTGTTTTTTCAAGACAATGGGGTGTTTCTTCAAACCTGGTGAGTACTCTCATTTGCAGGAGGTGCTGAGATTTGAACTGGTATCCTGGAACATGCTGCACAGCTCAGAATAAGTACAGCCCTCCTTGAAGCATTACAAGTAAAATGTGTTGGGGGGAAGATAACTTGAGAATGATTAAATTCAGTTGACTTTAATGAGATCTTATGGCTTTTTCTCTGACCTACCATTGCTGTGTTTATATACAATATATTAAATTATTAAGTTTATTGTAGTGCAGGTTTGCATATTTGTTCTCCATGTGCTACAGAGGTCTATACTAGTCACTTTTGTGTAGGTGTAAATTTAGATGTATGTATATGTTTTATTATTAACATTTGCCTTTTATTAGAGGCCTTTGGAAAAACAAGTTCTAGTCTTTATGAATGGTGTTAGTTTTGTTTGAAAACATTTTGGAGGGTTAATTAAGATAATCAGCTGAAATCTCTTCAGCTTCCATTTGCAGAGAGTGAACTTGCCTTTGCTGTTGTTGAATTTTGATATGTATTCCTCTTTTTCTTAAAAAAATAAATAGTTTATAGTAAGATTTTCTACAGTGTTTTAATTACATTGCTATCTTGTATGATTTTAAAATTAAAACCACTAAATACCTATGTTAGATTCAAATGTGTTTTACAAGCAGCAGAGCCAATGTATCTGGGAGACAGAGAAGCAGTGTTCACTGTGGCTTTTCTTGTTTTTTTTCCTGCTTGACGGGATTTGTCCATTTCCTTCCTCCACCTGTTTCTTTTGATAACAAGAGAAACAGGTGAAAGGTGGCTGCTTAGGTTTTCTAATCTACTAATAAAATCAAGAAACAGTTAAAAAGGCAGAGTACCTTTTTATCAGTGTTTTTATCAGTCTATTTTTTTAAAGATATGTGTATTGTTCAATCTGTTCTTGCTCCCTCTGGTGGTGGTTCTACTCAGAACCTATAAACACCTTTTTGTGTTTATGTGTCGTGTATTTGTATGATTTGATATATTGGCTACAGCTGCATATGAGGCTTTCACTAATTCTGGAACCTAACTCTTTCAGACTGGCCATTTGGCAATGGAGACATTACTGTCGCTCACCTCAAAACGAGCCGGAGACTGGTTTAAAGAAGAACTGCGACTTCTAGGTGGTCTTGATCATATTGTAGATAAAGGTATATTGTAGATGCTTCTTTGGCAGAGTGAAAAAATAGTGAATCTTACTAAAATGTTTGCTTTCCCTAATGTTCATTTGCTGTGATTAAAAATGGAAACATATTTTTTCTCAGCAATTTTAAAAACAACGTACGCAATTTGATATCAAGTCACCGTAAAATATCAGTGACTTTCATCTGTTGCATGTAGGATTGAAAGTAGTTTTAAGGTTAAACAGAATGTGTGTAATATTGCATAAAATGTGTGAGATTAAAATGGCTTAAGTTTATAGACAGAACACAGATTACGGTGTTACATATCTCCGTACTACACACAAATATAGCACACTATTGTAGAGTAAAATCTCCTTTACAGTCTTCTAGAATTATTTTCAGGCCTGATATTTTTTTAACTAAATATCTCAGATATTTCGTTATTTTTAAAGATAGGTCTTGGTTAAGTTTTTTGGATCAGCATCTCTCAGATAGGAAGAGGGACATTTCTGAAGTGAATTCTTGAGCTGAATTAAACTTTGGTCTTAAGCAGAGAGGTGGACAAAAGAAGGATTGAAGAGATGAAAGCATTCAACTTGCACACGGTTTCTGACTTGTAAAGTGTGGGGAGGGTGTGTATGCTGTAACTTTTTTCTCTTCTACAAAACTGCGTTACGGTTAAGGAACACCTCTGTGCTGTACAATCTCTTTGTTGTCAGTAGAAAATAAAATATACAGATAGGTAATGATTGGCAACAATCACAAACTTATGAAGACAGAATTGTAAGGGTGGATTTTTTTTATTTACTTGGGGAAATGAAAAATTTTGGAATGCTGATCATGTATTCGTGATTGTTTTCTAGCAGTAGAGTTTTGTAAAGTGTAAAACAAGGTTGATAGCAGCTCTCTGAGTAGCTAGTTAAGTGTGTACGCTTGGCTTTTGAAAACCTCTTGCTGACAGTGGAAAACAACTTCTTTTTGTTGTTTAGTTAAAGAATGTGTGGATCACCTAAGCAGTGATGAAGATGAAGAGAAATTGGTTGCTTCCTTATGGGGTGCAGAAAGATGTTTACGGGTCTTAGAAAGTGTGAGTATTAGCAGATGCATTGCATTTCTGAAAACTGTTTTTTCTTAACCAGACCTTGTCTGTGTTACATTCTTTCAATCTATAGTTACACAATAATGCTATGATGTTGCTTATTTTTTATAGAAGATACTAACCTTCTCATCTGATTTTTATCAGTGTTCTGGAATGCTTGTTTGAGAATTTCTTTTACTATTCTGAATATATTTATAACTTTGCAAGTTTAATATTGGTAAGAGTAACTGAATGCTTTTTCTTAAGTTCCTACAAACAGCTGCTGTTCATGGGTGCGAGTTTGACCCTGTAGTGTGTGTGTGCAGTAATAACGCATCCCTATAAAAGCAATATTTTCTTAGAAGCAATAAATTGATATATGTTATAAGAATTGCTACTTTCAAACAGCAGCTGGCTAAGAGCTGAAAGAGGAAAGTGCCTGGAAGTCAAACTAGTCCTGTAACCAGTTGAGCATGTATATTGAGATGGTAAATATTTTTTGTCAGAACTTTGAACAGAGTTAAAATACATAGTACTTTTGTAGAGCTTAGTTGACAGGAATTGTGAGCATATGCTTCCCTATAATGCCTTTTTTTGTTGAGTTTCATATTTGTTACTGGTGTTACTCTTTTAGTATTGTGATAAGGTAAGCAAGCAGAAGAGTGTAGGGTTGTTTTAGCAATACATCTCCACGCATAAGAAAGCAATGTTCAGGTTCAGAGTACAGGTCAATGGATCTTAACGAATACCTTAAACCCAAATCAAGCAGTAGCTTGTTTTCTTCCCAGAAAAGAAGGACAGACCCAAAGATAGTGTAAAAGTAAGCTAAAAACTGAGAGCAATTGCTGAGTACTAATTCAAGGGTGCTTATGTAAAAATTAATGGCACTTAGCTCTTTACCTGCCTTCTGAACAGTGAGAGAAAAATTTTTAGATCCACTTTCTGCTTTTATATTTGATAGAGGGAATTGCCAAGCAACGCTAGAAAAGCCTTGTTTAGTGGTAGAATATTCAAAATTGAACTTGAGGGTGGTTTGTGATATAGCAAGATCCTTAAGAACTTAGAAGAGACAACAAAAATCAGTGCACCAAATCATGCAAATTTAAGAGAAGAAATTTTTCTGAAAATGGATTCTGAATTTCAATCAGGGAAGTAAAGGAAAAACTAGACTTTTGTGGTTGAATGCATAATAAGCTCTCAGAAGTGGAGCCGATGTCAAGTCGTAAAAATACCATTATGTATTAATAGTATTCTGTGTTATATTTTTATATATATTTACATACACATGTATGGGACACTGTAGTCCCAGGATATAGATTCACAGGTTTTTGCTGTGGCAGAACATTCTGCAACACGGTTTCTATACTTACTGTATCAGGGAAAATGGCTTTATCTTCAGTGCTACAATTTTTTGTGATTAATTACAAGGTGAAAACTCCCAAGGAAATACTGCACAGTGAAAAGTAGAAGTTTACACTGGTTAATAACCAAGAAATGTGGAACTGAATAAAGTGGGCTGATAGTGGAAGGGAATGCTTCTCTTTCAAGTAAAAAAAGTCTTATTTTTAATATTGCTTTCTCCTCCCCTTTTTAGGTTACTGTGCATAATCCAGAAAATCAGAGCTATCTGATAGCATACAAAGACTCGCAACTCATAGTCTCCTCAGCTAAGTAAGTTGTAACAAAAAGACATTTTTGCAGAGCACTGCACGTGATAGGGGAAAAAAATGTATTTGTTATACCAGAAGATTCTAGGGAGCAGAAACCCCACAATTTCCACTGTTGCTTTTCATTAAGTAATGCTGCAGTTATTTTATATGAGGGTATGGGTAACTACCTGAATACTACCCATATGTAGTGCTGTTAGTGTTGCTTCTGTAGAAGCTGCAAACTGGATTCAGCTCTTCAGTACCAAGATAATATGAACACAGAAGAGGGCAGTTGGGAAGCTACATTTGTGTAATGTGTTTTCATTATGCTTAAGTGTTTGCTGAAATGGAGCATAACAGAATTGACAGTGTAACTAAGAATAAGCATAGCAAAAGTCTGTTCTTGGCTGTTCCCCCTGGCAAAGATGTTTGTGCAAACACCTCTAGCCCATTTATCAATCTGGGTGAGGTCTCTGTTGACTGGCAGAGCTTATCCCTCTTGTACTGCTCTTCATAAGAAAACAAATTAAGCTGAAAATTTGAGTCTGCAGACCTCATTGGAAACATAATTTCATGGTTGTAGGTTAGATATTTTGAGTATTTCTTTCAATTAAAAAAAACAAACAAACAAAAACCAAAAAACACCGCAACACTGTTTACTATGCTATTTAGACCAATATATATTTTTAGTTTTGTTTGTAATCAAAATCAGTGTTGTCAGTTTGACATCAAACTAATGTCATGCAGTTAAATCAAGCCTGTGGTCCAGTAGCGTTATGAGATTAAGGTTTTACTGCTACAAGGTCACATTATTTATTTCTTACAGAATAGAGATACCTCCGAGGATAGAATAAGAGAACATTTCAATAATACTGTCAGAATAATGTTGTGCCTCGATGGTGAGAGGATGTGAGAGGCTGGCTTTGTAGGGAGAGGAGTTATCTTGTAAGACCATGTGATGAAGTTGCAAAGAAAAATTGACTTTTGCTCTTGAAATCTCAAGCTGATAAAGCTCTAAGCCACAAAGCCTTCCTAGTTTTTTGTTTTCACAATTTCAGTTGAGCTCAGGAACGATTTTATAGGTAATAAATTTATTTAATCTTTCACTACAGACAGGGCATCTGAGCATCAGAAGAATTCTGCTTAAGCTCTGTATTAAGTTTTTTTCCTGGTGAAATGAGTATAAGGGTGGAATGTTCTGTATGTTGTCAGTGTAATTTTGTTCTGCATCTTCTCCCTGCAGAGCACTGCAGCATTGTGAGGAGTTAATCCAGCGATATAATCGTGCTGAAGACAGTATCTGTTTGCCAGACAATAAGCTTCTGCCTCACCAGAATGTAACTAACCATGTGGGTAAAGCAGTAGAAGACTGCATGAGGGCCATCATTGGCGTCTTGCTCAACCTAACAAATGATAACGGTAAAACAAACAACATTTTTCATGTCCTGTGTGAAAGCATAAAATAATAAGTTAATGTAAACCCTTTTCTTATACCGATTATGTTTTTACCATGTACAGTGCAATAAAAGTTTTGTGTGGTAGGTGCTTGCTTTACAGTAATCAGTAATTTGTCTTTGCAGATTGGATGAGTAATTGCAGATATTAAGTGTTAAGATGCCTGCTTTGGCCAAGAGAGTCCAGTTCATCTTTAGGGCCAGAAGGTTTTTATCCATCTGCTTATGATGATGAAAATGAGGATGTTAAAAATTGAGCCTCTAAACTCTTTTTGTTTACAGAATGGGGTAGTACAAAAACAGGTGAACAAGATGGTCTGATAGGCACAGCTATGAATTGTGTGCTTCAGGTTCCAAAGTTCCTACCTCAAGAACAGAGATTTGATATTCGGGTGCTGGTAAGCTATTGTAGTTATTACATTAATGTAAAATGATTTGCCCCCTTCTTGTGCTTTTAACTACTCTAGTTCATAATTAAGAAGCAGCCTCTACAGTTTTCATTAACCATATATGTACTTACTGAGGTACTTAAAGAAGGTTTCTGTAAGGATTTGGTGGTTTTGAGCTCTAATAATTTTCCATGTGTTTGGTGAGAAAAGTGCACTGCTAGATGAACAAAGACATTTAGCTAAATAAATGTGAATTACCTCATTTTCAAGTGTCTTTTCAACTTTAGAAATACAGTGGATGTAATTGTTTGAAATAAAGGCTTTGTCAAATTTACCCCAGCTTATGTAAAATGGGTCTGTGTGGCCTAAATAGCAACGGTGAAATTGTGTATGCGAAAGGACTTTTAAGACTATAAGCTGAAGGTTGGATACCTGAATCCCTAATCTATAAATGAAATCACATCTTTAAAAACATTGAGAATGTTTTCGTGTTTAGAATTGGAAAAATGGAGATTCCTGCGTCAAGTTGTAGTGTGCAGGAATCTCAGTTTTGCCTCGTATTTCTTTAAATCCTGATCCTTCGAACTGTTTTATAAAGGTGTGTCAGTAAGTTATGTATCCCCAGAAAGATAAGGCATAAAGAAGACATTTATCTGAATAGTTTCTTTTTGCTAAATTATCCTTTTTTAATGTGTATAATCCTGTTCAACTCTCCAATTCTTGCAGGGATTGGGTCTGTTGATCAATCTGGTAGAATACAGTGCTCGGAACAGACACTGTCTTGTCAATATGGAAACATCATGTTCTTTTGACTCATTCTGTACGGGAGAAGGAGATGATAGCCTAAAGATAACCGGACAGATTGATGCTGTTCAGGCTTTAGTGCAGGTAAGAAATGTGTTTTTCTGGTAATAGTTACCATTTCTTATTGTCAGACTGTCAAGGGAGAAGGGAGAACTCAACAATGAAGATTTGTCAGAATTTTTTTCTCTTTAGTATTTGCAGTAATAGTACAACATTGTGAGTGGCCCTCCTCTCCCCCCACTTCTTTGACTTTTTCAGTACTGTCCATTACAGAAACAGCTTTCCTGGTAAAAGACAGTGGTATCATTATTACAGGTATCCAAAGGCTGCTCTCAGGCTCCATAAAGCTGTCTTGTTCCTATACAGTTTATTTCTAGTTTTCTTGTTCCTAAATGGTTTACTTCTGTTTTGTTTTAAACCAGCTGTAAAAATTGTAAGTTACTCTTATCTTATGTACTTTGCTTCCATAGATTTTTTTTTTAAGTACTATCTTTTCAGGAGTTTGCAACTTTGAATAAAAAACTTTATGTATTGTTCTTTACATCTTTATTTTATTGCTCTTATAATGAATATGGATGTGAAACTGCGTTCTTAAATGTTGTATTCAGTAACTTGTTAAAAAAAATCCACCAATAATTTTGGTGAACAAGTTCCACCATCCTAGCTGAAATAAGGGAGTTGAACGGATTTTAAATTATGGCCCATTTATTTCAGTAGTGATAATTTTATGGATGCTTTTCACAGTTCTTCTGTTTAACTATGTGAAATAACTGTCCATCAGCAAACAAAAAATATCAACAATAAAAATAGTGTTAATTATCTTAATGTGTACAGCTCAGCAAAGCAGTATTAAAACTGGTGACATTGCTGGTTCAGTCACATCCTTGAGAAGTCATTTTAAATTACTTTCAAATTTTTGCTTTTTACATATCAAGGGAAAAGCTAAGAGAGCAAAGAGGGGATAGTAAGCATGAAAAGAAAATGAGGATTGCTAGAGAACAAAAACGGACAGGAAAATATGTCAACTTTTGCTCTTCGAGCTGTGTCTCAAAGAAAATGACTAAACATTTACAATGCCCAAGAGGAGCTTGCCAACTGGGTCAGTGCTGAGGAGGGGTGGAGGAGGCCTTTTCTGTGGAGCGCAGCATTAGTGTTGGGATACATTATATTTTCGTTTGAAGAAGAAAAGGCTATTGTTAAGAAAAGTGTTGAAGACTAACTGTATTAAGGGGTGAATTGTGAAGGGGAAATAAGGTTTCAAGTATTAATGCAATGTGTTTAGGGTTTAATTTATAATAGAAATTCTTTTGAAATTTTCTCCACTAGCTCTTTCTAGAGCGTGAGCGAGCAGCACAGCTGGCCGAGAGCCAGACAGATGAATTGATTAAAGAAGCTCCTACTGCTCAGCACGATAAGAGTGGGGAATGGCAAGAGACAAGTGGGGAGATACAGTGGGTCTCCACAGAAAAGCCAGATAGTACGGAAGAGAAAGATAAGAAGGAAGAAGATGATGAAGAACTTGATCTTAATAAAGGTATGTTGTCTGATTGTGATGAGCTCAGAAAAGGCAAAGAACTCTGTGATTGCATAAATTTGCTTCCTATCTACATGCAGTCTCTTGGGCTGAGATTTCCTCAGCATATTCCCCAGGTGAAACTGATACAGATCATAAGTAGGAGCAGTTCAGAGGTGAAGCAGAAGTGGAAGAAGTTATGCTACTTTTTATTTTCTTAATAGTACCTTCTGTCAGTTCCTTAAAAAACAAACAAAACCTCCAAAACAACACAAACCTTTTTTTAGGGAACATTCTGTGTAATAAATATTCGGAAAGGGATGGCTTTTAAGCCTTTATCTTGTTCTACTGAAACAGCCCTTGAAAGTTATCTGCCTTAATTTTGTTTTCCAGGGTATTGTGACCCATTCTTGTTTCATGCCGCTTTTAGAGTTTTTTCCTCCTGTCCTTATTTGCACGTATTCTTCTTCTGTCCCCATCTTCTTTGTGTCTGAGGTCTTCTCACTCTGTTGGTGGTGTCGTAGGTATCTGTGTAATGCCTTGATGTGCTGTATCTTTGGTAGTTCACTCCAGGAATTTAAATATCTCTAAGCAGAGTTATGTAGTTTCTCTGGAAGGTCAGAAGCATCGGTCCTTCTCATTTAATTTTCTAATGGCAGGTGCGATGTATTACTTCTAATAGTGTTTTAATCTTCTAATAGTAGGTGTGCTGTATTGCTTTTTCCAACCTTGCTTTATGTCCTTCCTCCTTATTGTAGCTCCATCAACTGGTGCCTGCAGCTATTTGTGGTTTGTCAAAAAATGCCGAGTCATTATCAAGAAGTGCTGTATCTGTTATCCTTAATACAATACACTTCTTTTGGTGGAAGTCTTACTGGCTTATAATATCACATGAAACATTTATATTTGTGTTTTGGTGTTCTAAGCATATAGTTTGCACATTGAAATGGCAAATAATAATAAAATACCACACAATGGAATGAATTGAAAGCGAATGAACACCCTTTTTTTGTTCAAGAATGTGTTGCTGAGTTAGTAAATGCAGAGTTTGTGTAATTCTTGCTTCTGAAATCTCAGTCCAAAAGCTCATTTTGTTTGAGAAAAAACAATTCTGAGAAGTGATAATGAAAGATTGTATTTGAAGCAGTGGAAGATACCAGCTGCTTAGAGAATACAATACACTTGGTTGCCTCTCTTTACAGCTCTTCAGCATGCTGGGAAGCACATGGAAGACTGCATTGTGGCCTCATACACAGCATTGCTTCTAGGCTGTCTCTGCCAAGAGAGTCCAGTAAGGGAATATGTCAATAACTTGCTCTTAAGTCCAATACAGTTTTTAGTAAAGTAATAATTTGCAGTATTGAAATGGGTTTATTAAATTAAGGTTCAACGTGAGCTAGTCCACTGATGAAGCTACACTTAACGTATATAGTTCTATGGAAAGTTGCCAGAGGTATTCAATCCAAAACAAATTTTCTGAGGATCGGTATGTTTATCAAAAACAGTTGGAACTGAGTATTGAACCTCTTCTGCCTCTCTCCCCTTTGTTGTTAGTCTTAGCCCACAAATGAACTTCTTTGGAAAGGCAAACTTGGTTGCCTGTTCTATAGTTATAAAAGTTTGCTTTATTTTTCAGTAGTTTTGATAAGCAAGTTAACATTGGAGGTGTTTTGGTTTGGTTTTTTTCATCAGTCTGCTTTATTTTTTTTCCTCTATTGAAGCTACCCGAAATTTGGTTTGTCCGCATTAGTTGAGGGTGATTGCCTCGGGTTGGAAATACATAATAGAAAGCTGAAGTTAAAACTTTAAAATGTGGAACTCTGACAGTTGAGAACTTCATAAACTCTCCCATCAGATATATGCTCAAATGAAAATGAGGTTCAGACCTGCCTTAAGGCTTGTTCAAATTTACCGTGATGGCAGAAATGGTATTTAATGTGCTGTTCTGCACCTTGTGACTGATAAGCTCCATCCAATTTTAGTGTTTGGAGTGATACTGACAGTAGTTAAGTTCAGTAATTCTCAACCCTTAACAATTGTGAAGGGAGATGCTCTCCATGTCAGGAGAGTAGTATGGTGGGGTTTTTAGTTCTTGTGATCTTGTGGGTCCTGGGGAGGTCTGACGGTAGTAATGATCTTTAATGAAAAAAAAAAATAACAACAACAACAAATCTTAGCAATTGTTGTTTCCTAGAAACACAAACACCATAAATACAAGTATTACTTAAGAGAGACTTACATCATAGAGATACGAGAGCAATAGCTATCTTAGTAATGCTATGAATAAATATACTTCTCTTATGACACCTCACATGCAGAGTAACATAGTTCTGTGTCAGAAAAATATTTCCCAAATCAAAATAGATTGTTTTGTTTCTTAGATCAATGTGACTACTGTGAGGGAGTACTTACCTGAAGGGGACTTCTCGATAATGACTGAAATGCTCAAAAAATTTCTCAGTTTTATGAATCTTACTGTAAGTAATATATATTTTAAATTGAGGTATGTAGATATTTTTGTAATTATGTTTTCTGTTAATAGTCCATACGTTTTTAGAAGCATTTAACGTTTTTCAATTTGTGTCTTTAGAAGAGCACAGGTTGATTTTCTGTTTTTAAATACTGAAAATCCATTTGTCCTTATTTTGGTAGTAAATTGAATGAAGCTTTCATTCCACTTGATTGTGACTGATTGGGAAAATACTTGGAATCCTCTGCTTGAACCTAGCTGCTTTTACTGATACATAATTCTAAATACCAAAATTCTGAAATGAGCATAGATCTCAAATATTTTAAAGAGGTATTACGAGTGCTTGTTTGTTACTTCTGTTTTCTATTACATTTTCCAGTGTGCTGTTGGAACAACGGGCCAGAAATCTATCTCTAGGGTGATTGAATACTTGGAACACTGCTAGATACTTAACTTCCGCTGCAGGCACTCTAATGCTGGAGCTACCCTTAGACAAAAGAAGAAGTCATGAAAGAAGTCCTTGAAGGATATAACAAGAGCATTCATCTGTGTCATTCGTGTTTGGATTTTTAAGGCTACCTGGTTTCTTAACCACGCATTCAGCATTTTCTAGAAGACAGTTACTACTTCAATCTGCAACTATCAAAAATGAGGGGAAAAAGGTTCTGAGGAAAATAAATAAAGAAACCATGCTGTTTATGATGCAGTGCAGTATTTAAATATTTTTGTCAGGGTTTACCCTCCCTATCTTTTTTTCTTGCTTTGTTCGTGACAAGTTTCAAGGGGAAAAACTTGCTGCTGATAGTGCAACTGCTGTTTACTGTTGAGCCACTGTTTCATGCCAGCCAGGTGCAAAGGCAGCTTAGCTACTGAGGTATCAAACAAATGTTCTAATAAAGAAGTTCTGGACAGCAGCACTGCTCCTATTTGAGTTCAATTAGCTCTTGCTTTTTTATTACTAGATTATTCCAAAATCATAAAATATAAATTTTTAAATACTTTTGTGATTTTAACTACTGTCTATATATAAATTTGTTGGAATCCAAAGAGGTGAGGATTGGATAGTTTATTTTTTATACTGTTTTGACTGAAATTAGGTTGTTGAACTATTTCTCAGTTCTAAAATTGTCATGGCCCATGTACTGTAAACTGATAGACCATAACACTTTCTAGTTCCAAGAAGCATGCAAGCCCATAAACACACAAAGCCATTTGAGGGTATGTTATCCACAAAAGAAAGAGTAACTGTAAAAAGTTGTGCTCTCTTTAAAAAAAAAGAAAAAAAAAAAAGGAAAAAAGAAAAAAAAAGAATTAAAAAAAAGATATTCAGTCCCAGGGCAGTTTACACTTCTAATGAGCAAAAACTTTCAAATGTTGTTTTAAGTTGTTTTAAGGAAGCACTCACGATGTATTTTATCATGCTCAGTACAAAGAATTTGGATGTTTTAGGGGGAAGAATTTTAGAGAAGCTAAAACACCAAGGGGGATTAATGTTTCCAGCTGACATAATCTTTCCATTTCATTCTTCTGTAGCATGACAGAGTTTAAATGCATACAACACAAAGCCTTAAATTGCTGATATAGCTAAGATTTTGTTCAGTCTGAGGTCTAGTTCACAGCAAAGCATTGTGTTTGAAGACTTAAGTGGAACAAAGAATCCCAGAAAATACATGACTTTTTTTAGCAATTTTTTTTCTTGCACTCATTATTCAGGCCAACAGAATTGGTAATTATTTTTATTAAGCTGGTCTTGAATATTTGCAGACTGTTGAGATCTGCTTCATTGACACTTTTAAATACCTGTATAGGTAGTTGAATCATGTTGTTCCATTGAATTTGTAAAACTTGAAGCCATAAAAATATTAGTTCTATGTATAATGAGGGGGAAATAACAGGAAATCTAACCTACTTTTAGATCTTGTGTTATCTCCATGTATAAAGTTAAGAACTTGTGCTTTTGTATCAGTGCCAGCTGTAAATTTTTTACATACAGTGGCTGCCTTCTATGTCTTCCTATTTTTGATAATGCAGATTGTTGGAAATTCTGTAAGGAAGTAACTGATTAGCGGCAAAAATCCTATGTTGGTCATACTTTTTTGCGTTTTCTCTCATCACCTTCTAAAACCTAGTATATCAGTGTAACTTAGAAAAGTTTTTGAGGTTGTATTCCCCTTTGTTTAAAAAAACCTCAGTATTGAGAGAGAGAGTGAGAGAGAGAAGCTGTATGTAAGTGATCTGCATCAGGAGGAAATTACTGAATATTTTGCCCATCTAGTTTTCTGATTTTAGAGATTTTTCACTTATAATGGAATTACAAATTGATTATGTAGTGTTCTGTGGAGAGATGGTAAGAGAAAATGAAATATGGATGTGATGATGGGGGAAAGCAGGGACAACTACCTTTCTTTGTTACACTGGTAATTGTTTGGGAATTGATTTACCTCAGTGTTTAACAGTTTTTTAAAAAATGTAATTGTCAAGCACTGACAAATGCAGGTTGGTTTTTTTGAGGGTGGGGGGAGAAATCACCCTGTGAACTGCAGTGCGCTTTTGTGTGTTAGACCCTCAAATAACTCTGCATTAAAGGGTACTTGAGGCCAACTTGCAAATTAAAGTTTTAAAGTAACTTTTTTTCCATTGTAAATATTTGTGTAAATACTCTCAATTGGAAATTAGAACCGTAGAGTACTTTTCTGAATCCAATCCTATTTTTATTTTATACAGTATTTCTCAGCTGTGATCTTTGGAGCAAAAGCCAACGGCAGGAAAAATAGTTTGTACCAGTTTCATGAAGTATGTCTTTGGGTTTTTGTAAATAATTTTAACTCAAATAAAATTGCTACTTTCAATACATATCTTGTCTTTTAACATGTAGTAAAACACTCCTCTGAGTGACTGCAGAAAGAAGGCCTTGTCAGGTTAATTGTTAAAAGGGGGAGAAGAAAAAAAGGGGGAGGGATAATGGAGGAGCATCCTGAAGGTGATGTTGGGTTTTTCACTGGTGTGGAGACAATACAGTTCAGTGCCTGCCTGAGGCTGTGGTCAGTCACACCAATTAAGGCTTGACATTTCCTGGAACAATGTACTCAATCTCTTAACGCATTGTGGAGTTCTCCACACAAGTTGCTATTGATCTTTCAGCTGAAGGGGCATGTAACAACTCTGAAGAGCTGTAGTTAGAATAACAAAAATCTGCTAAAGCAAAGGGGAAATTTGGGGGCAGTTCTTGTTATGCTGATACTTTTCACACCATGAGGGACATTAATGGCATCTTTCTTCAGTGAACAAATGAGAAAATTGGCTTTAGTGTGAATGGTGGTTTAATTTCAGAATGGATTTTTTCCCATGGATTTTTTTCTTAATTGATACAACTAGACACAGGTACAATACGCAGTAATTCATGAGCTCTAAAGTGAATTGAATGTGGTGTGTCATCTCATTGCCACTTTAACAAGCATCGGCATAAAGTAACTTTCTGTGCTGTAAAGAGATGTTACTGGAGTTAGAAATCTGGAGCAGTATGCTATTAGTATGTAGTATTGCAGGAGGCAAATACAGCTTTACGTACGCAAATGTTTTGAAAAAGGTTATAACATCTGGTAAAAGTATTTCCTCTTAGTTCTTTTGTCAGTAGATCTGTAATGGAGGCATCGTGTGTGGATGCCTTGATGACATCAGCATTTTCAGATTAACAGGACTATTGGAAAGCTTCTAGAGTAGATTTGGGAGTCAGCCTTTCCCATGGATTATTTCACTTTCAGACTGTTTTGAAATGCGTTATTTGCATAACAAAGTGATCTGTCATGATCTGTGCAGCTCTGATTTATCAGAAGCTTGATGTAAAAGCAGATACTAGTGCTGGAGGTTTCTCAGGCTGGCCTAATGGAGTTGTTTTGTATTGTCAGCAGATTGAGTCTCTCTGAGCAGAAGATTGGACAGTGATCACAAAGGTATAAAAGTGTCGTTCTTCCCCTGGAGCCAAGCATCTGTGCCAAGCGTGCAGCTGGAGCAGTGCGGTTCTGCTAGGTCACTGAATCATGACTGCACTGCCACTTCTCGGTGGGCAAGAACATAGTGCGAATTCTCATACCAATTTTAGGGTGTTGCATTTTTTAATTTTTTCTGCAACAGAATATTCTAACAGGAGTTCTTGCTTTCAAATCATGTTTTCAGGCTCAAGTACTTCACTGAATTGATAAAGATGTTTTTGGTGTCAGATACACTAGCCAAGTATTCTGTCTTCCCTCCTTTTTCCTTTCTCTCAACATCAATAATTCCTTCTTTGAGTAAGCAGAAGTCAAAGGATACTTTGTTAGCTGGGGCTATTACCAGGCAAGCCCACATGGCTTTTTCAGTAAAGTCTTTTTTCATTAAATGTGGTACTTTTTGTCTTTAAACAGCAAGGAAAACAAAAATGTGTATTTGAGTTCAAAAGATAAAGAGGACGCAAGTAGCTGTCATGCTGCTTCATCAAGCCCTTCCTTATACAATGGCTCGTTAATTGGGTTTTTGAAGCTAATGAGATTGGAATTTGCCCTGAATGCTGCTTTGCCAAGTGTTTTTAAAACCAGGCCAATGTAATTCTTGCTGCTGCTGCTTCTCCTCCTCTGTGTAATATGTTAGTTTGTCTCTGGGTAAAGGACACTACTGGATTCTTCTAGCTACATGGAACAGAAGCCATTCATACATATTTTTTACCTGCCCTAAAGGTCCCCTCTCCAAGGGGCTGTAATTTATTAAGACATTCACAGCATCAGTAGATGCAGATAGTCCTACTGTCAATAAACGTGAAACCAGTATAAATAATGCAACTGCTTGAAGATCTTATCGAAGGATAGATTGATTTACTAATGCCACAAGGATCTTTATTCCAGCTTTGAAAACTGAACTTACTTTCAGTAAGGTAGGTTCACCCTCAGGTTGCCATGCTTGGTATGATATGTCTGTGTGTGACAACAGGCACTCTGGTGATGCAGAGGATGTTGTAAAGAGCCCTGGAAAAAGCAGTCCTCATTGGGAGGAAAGTGATCTATTTTAGGGACGGCCTTAAGTTTGAAAGAAAGATGTTCTTATCTTTCACCTCCTGTCTTCCAAACTGTATCCTAAGTTTCCTAACCTGCAACTTTTGCTGAGAGGTTGAACTTCCATTTCATCAGCTTAGAGGAGGGAAGGCCAAAGAATTTACTGATGTATGGAAAGCTAGATTACTGAATAGTAAAAAGTTTTTCAGACAAGTAGCTCCTATTTCATTTTGTGCCCACTGTGTAGACTCAAAATTCTTGTCTGTCTTAGTTATTTAGAGGAAGGTTCATTGTTGAATAAATAATTAACAGTAGGGTAAAATTAGGTGATATGGAAAAGAGGACTCTCTTTGGAGTAAAGAGTAACAGGAATTTTATTTAGATTTACTGTTTAGATTGGGAATTCTTTAAATTTCCTCTATTAGAACAGAAGATTTAGCTGTGTCTCTGCATTTACTTCTTTGAAAGTGAGGAGGAAGAGTGTTAGCGTGGAGTCTGGATTGGATTTAATTATTTTCATTCTACCTGTAAAGCTGACCCTGTGAATGTGTCCTAGAACAGCAGGTCAGTGTTGTTCAGGTGATTGAGTAATATTGGTTCATGTGTGTGTGGCTTTTTTCCCCGAACTTTCTAGCTCTGTCACTTTACCCTCCTAAGAGGATTAAATTCATTGTCAAAATAAGGAATAAAGACACTGAAAAGATGATGTTCTACCAGGAGAAAGATTTTACTCAAAGGTGTACCAAAGAGTTTATGTTTAATTGTGGAGATGAATATGTACCACCTGGATAAATATTTGTGTTAAAAGACCCAAACCAGACTTTTTCAACAGGTTTTCTTAACTTGCTTGTTTTCTCCTTCAGATTTGCTGATGTTTAATCAATAGAAACTAAAACTGGGTTACAAGGGCTACAATTTGAAAGAAATAAAAAACCCACAGATACCAGAAGTAGTTTTACTTTTTTTCCAGACAGTTATTGACCAAATAAAATGTATTTAACTAGCATGTTTTATGGGAGAAGGTCTTGTGAATGTGGCTGTGATATATGTCCTAGTGACAGTACCTGCTGTTTGGTTTACTTGTGCATTACAGTATTTTACCTGGTAGAAAGCAAACCTTGAAAAATATATGGGAATGTGTAAGTGCACATGCACGCGCACAGATATATATATATATCTGTACGTATAGTCATTTTTTTTCTCTGCTGTTACCAGTACCTAATGCATGAGAATCAAGGTGAGGGGTATTTGTGCAGAAGTTA